ATTTATTTTTTAATTTATTTCAGGTACTTATATAGCACTGTCAATTTACGCAGCACTTTACATATATATATTGAACATTCACATCAGTCCCTAACCCTCAAGGGGCGTACAATCTAAGGTCCCTAACCCTCAAGGGGCGTACAATCTAAGGTCCCTAACCCTCAAGGGGAGTACAATCTAAGGTCCCTAACCCTCAAGGGGGGTACAATCTAAGGTCCCTAACCCTCAAGGGGCTACAATCTAAGGTCCCTAACCCTCAAGGGGCGTACAATCTAAGGTCCCTAACCCTCAAGGGGCGTACAATCTAAGGTCCCTAACCCTCAAGGGGCGTACAATCTTAGGTCCCTAACCCTCAAGGGGCATACAATCTAAGGTCCCTAACCCTCAAGGGGCGTACAATCTAAGGTCCCTAACCCTCAAGGGGCGTACAATCTAAGGTCCCTAACCCTCAAGGGGCGTACAATCTAAGGTCCCTAACCCTCAAGGGGCGTACAATCTAAGGTCCCTAACCCTCAAAGGGAGTACAATCTAAGGTCCCTAACCCTCAAAGGGAGTACAATCTAAGGTCCCTAACCCTCAAGGGGAGTACAATCTAAGGTCCCTAACCCTCAAGGGGAGTACAATCTAAGGTCCCTAACCCTCAAAGGGTATACAATCTAAGGTCCCTAACCCCCAAGGGGTGTACAATCTAAGGTCCCTAACCCCCAAGGGGTGTACAATCTAAGGTCCCTAACCCTCGAGGGGCGTACAATCTTAGGTCCCTAACCCTCGAGGGGCGTACAATCTAAGGTCCCTAACCCTCAAGGGGCGTACAATCTAAGGTCCCTAACCCTCAAAGGGTATACAATCTAAGGTCCCTAACCCCAAGGGGTGTACAATCTAAGGTCCCTAACCCTCAAGGGGCGTACAATCTAAGGTCCCTAATTTACATTCATACATACACATACTAGGGGGCCAATTTAGACAGGAACCAATTAACCTAGTTATTGCCATTGCTGCATATTTATAGGTTCTAGGTTAGTGACTCAATAAGTAGGAATGAAATAATAATAATAAATGGGTGCAGCTCTAAAATCAAAAAATAAAATGCTAATGCAAATGGCAAATATTGAATCATACAAAATCAATTATAGATATTAAAGTGCCAATAGTGCTATTAGTGACCACAGATAAAACATGAGATATATGGTGATATACGTCCTTGTGGTATAATCAAATACAAAAGTCCAACAAGTGATCCAGTGTGTAGGAATCTAAAAAACCACTCAAGGTGGCTATAGTGCTAAATAAGTGAAAGTCCAAATAATGATTGTGGGGATCCACAAAAAGATCTCAGCATAGGTATTCCAATCTCCTATTTCCAGGTTATAGGTGGTATATCTGGTAATAGAGAAATTGCGCACTCACCAGATGCACAATATTATCATGCATTTGAGAACACAGCTGTCTCATCAGGTTAGCCAGATCATCTAGTAGTGTGTACAGCCTGGTTCCACTTCCCCTTTGGGTCCTCCGTTTGGTATCAGCACCTCAAGTTTCCTCTTTAAAAGGCTCTGCGAATGGTTAGACTCACAAAGAGCCCAAGAAAGGATGCCACATAGTGTGATACTGCTTAACAGAGGAGTTTATTGCTTCCCAAAACAGGTTGTACAGGTAAGAATAAAACAGACTGACCATGTGTTCCCAAAGATGGCCGCCAGCGGCGGCATGACGTCACGACGCTGTAGCTCCTCCTTGACGCGTTTCGTGCTCTAGCACATAGTCATAGGGGGTATGCATGCATACACATATGCATGCATATCTGGCTGACCTGATGAGACAGTTGTGTTCTCAAATGTGTGATGATATTGCGCATCTGGTGAGTGCGCAATTTTTCTATTACCAGATATCCCACCCATTTATTATTATTATTGACTTGGGAGGTTTTTGGTTACCTTTTTGGTGTCTCAGCAGCTTTATTGTAGCGCTCGCTTTGCTTTTCTTGTTCAAGTAGGAATGAAATGATGATGATGACAGACCTAGCGGGCGAACCTTGAAAAAGAACTTCTCAGCTGCACTATGCATCTTGACAGCATCTGATGGACTACAGAACACCCCTCATCAGCATTGCATAAAAAAGAGGTGTTCTGTAGTCCAACAGGAAAGAATTTATACCTGACAACACCGCTTTAAACTTCCATGCAGCAGCGACAGAGTTGTCAGCACACTACAGGAAGTTACAATATCAGTGTATTTCTGCAGATCAACAGGTACAGTATTTGCAGAGTAATAAAAGATACAAAACGTATTGAAGTCGATGTACTGTATATTTTTTGGGGGTTTTTTTTTATCCAAGACACACAATTTATGTCTTAAATCAAATCAACCCCAAATTAAATTGGTCTGAAAGCTTGTTGTTTGGGTCATTGTCAGACTTCTGTCATTCCAGATGAGCAGCAAAAATAAACATAGTATCAATATTTAATGCAAAAGATACATTGTAACATTAAAAAAAAACAAACATTCACGAGTCTACGCTTTCTACATCTTGATGAGTATGTGAACGTTGGGGAGACTCTTCGGGGTGTATTTACTAAAGTTGGAGAGTGCAAAATCGGGCTCATTTATGCATAGAAACCAATCAGCTTCTAACCTCAGCTTGTTCAATTACGTTTTGGCAATAAAACCTGGAAGCTGATTGGTTTCTTTGCAGAACTGAGCCTGATTTTGCACTCTCCAGCTTTAGTAAATACACCAGTTTGGGTTCCTTTTAGACTTGTGGGGGGGGGGGGGGTAAAAACATGTAGTCGGGTTGAAAAAAGAATAGGAATCTGTGCACAAAACAGGAGACAGGTGTGGGGGAAAGGATGGACCAGCTTGGGACTCAAAACAGGGACACTTGTGCAGGAAAGATGGACAGAGGACAGGAAACACAGTTGTGGAGAAAAAAGAGAACGAAGTGTTTGAGACCAAAGGAGGGCCAGTTGTGATGGTAAAAGTGAGTGTTTGGGCGGTAGGACAGGAAATTGGACACAAAACAGGATCAGTTGCAGAGCAATCCGCGTCAATAAAAAGGCACAGAGAAATTGGGGAAGAATGACATAACGGCATGGGTCCATATGAAGGAAGAAAGACTAGGGTCCAAAGGAAGGGCAGAAAGACTTGGGTCCGTAAGGTCAGAGAGACCAAGGACCAAAAGAAGGACAGAAAGACCTGGATCCAAGGGAAGGACAGAAAGACCTGGGCCCATAGAAAGGACAGACAAGACTGAGTCCATAAGAAGAACAGAAAGGACTGGGTTCATAAGAAGGACAGAAAGCCTTGGTTCCAAGGGAAGGACAGAAAGCCTTGGTTCCAAGGGAAGGACAGAAAGCCTTGGTTCCAAGGGAAGGACAGAAAGCCTTGGGTCCAAGGGAAGGACAGAAAGCCTTGGGTCCAAGGGAAGGACAGAAAGCCTTGGGTCCAAGGGAAGGACAGAAAGCCTTGGGTCCAAGGGAAGGACAGAAAGCCTTGGGTCCAAGGGAAGGACAGAAAGCCTTGGGTCCAAGGGAAGGACAGAAAGCCTTGGGTCCAAGGGAAGGACAGAAAGCCTTGGGTCCAAGGGAAGGACAGAAAGCCTTGGGTCCAAGGGAAGGACAGAAAGCCTTGGGTCCATAAGGATATAAAGACCTGGGTCCATAAGGATATAAAGACCTGGGTCCATAAGAAGAACAGAAAGACTTTGGTCAAAAAGAAGGACAGAAAGACTTGGGTTCAAAGGAAAGACAGAAAGACTTGGATCCATCAGGTGGACAGAAAGACTTGGGTACAAAAGAAGAACAGAAAGACTTGGGCCTAAAGGAAGGACATACAGACTTAGGCCCATAAGGACAGAAAGACTTGGGTCTATAAGAAGAACTGAAAGACTTGGGTTCAAAAGAAAAACAGAAATGCTTGGGTCCATAAGAAGGACAGAATGACTCAGGTCCCAAGGAAGGCCAAAATGATTGAGTCCATAAATGGTACAGAATGACCTGGGTCCATAAGGACAAAAAGACTTCTGTCCAGGACAGAAAGAATTGGGTCCATAAGAAGGACAGGAAGACATGTCCATAAGAAGGACAGAAAGACTTGAGTCCAAAGCAAAGACAGAATGATTGGGTCCATAAGAGGCACAGAATGACTTGGGTCCAAAGATAGGACAAAAAGCCTTGGGTCCAAAAAGAAAGACCTGGGTTTATAAGTAAGGACAGAATGGCTTGGGTCCACAAGAAGAACACATTGTAGTGAACAGAGGGACATGAGTTTAGTCCCAACATGGTAACATTTGTAAAAAAGCCAAAACAGAAATTTGGGTCCAGCTGCAGATCAGTTGTGGACAAACCTGGTCAGTTGGATGCGTCCTAAAAGGGGCAAATGGCCTTCTAAATACAAGAACCGACGTGGAGCAAGACAGTGCATGGATCTGATTCCAAAAGGCATGAGCCCTTGGCAGGAAAGCTTGTAGTGGCCTAATGGCTAAACCTCCTGCCTTGCAGCCTATGGATTGTTGGTTTGAATCCCAGCCAGGACACTACCTGCATGGAGTTCGTATGAGCCAGTGTCTTCCCACACTCTAAAGACCTGTTTGTAGGACGTTAGGATCCTGTCTTAGCATGCATGAAGTGGACCTTAGATGAAAGCAGCGACTATACATTGTAATGAGGTCTGAGCAATAGGACAGGGTGTCAGTTGTTAGGTGACTGCTGCCTGTGGAAGTGGCATTTCATGAGCAGTCCCCACCTTTAGTGACCCAGTTTAGTTCCTGCACAGCCTGTACACCAGGAACAGGAAACCTTCTACAGCTGACACGTGGAAATAAAAAAGTTTATCTGTGATGTAAAAGCCAATCCCTCCCCCACTCTGCCTGGAGTTACAGGAAACTCTCAGTGCTGCAGCTTTAGTCAATCAGGAGGAGTTGGAGGACTCTGGTCATCTGGGGAGGTTGTAGGAAAAATGCTTCTCTGGGCTAGTGTGGGGTAGACACCCCCTTGTCCTTCTGGATGGCCACCAAGGGAGGCAGAAATGACTACCATAAGAGTGACGTGGACCTCCTGTTACAGAATGATGAGCTGCAGAGCCCTCCTAGGAGCCCCCAGCATGGAGACCGAACCAAGAAGCTCAGTGGGGACCAGCACTGGTCAGAGTAAGTGGACACATGGGGTGTGATGGACCTGGGGATGAGGTGCCTTGGACTATTGCTAAACTAGGGTGGAATCACAAGTGCCAGAATGCTTCTCAGGGTCTGCTGAGACTTGTGTTGCTGGGGTGAAACTACAAGTCCCAGCATGTATGTCAGGGTGTGTTGATCCTTGTGTTACTGGGGTGGAACTACAAGTCCCAGCATTCATCTCAGGGTCTGCCTGGACCTGTGTTGCTGGGGTGGAACTGCAAGTCCCAGCATGTTTCTCGGGGTCTGCTGGAACCTGTGCTGCTGAGGGTGGAACTACAAGTCCCAGCATGTTTCTCAGGGTTTGTTGATGCTTGTGTTACTGGGGTGGAACCAGAAGTCCCAGCATGCATCTTAGGGTCTGCCAGGACCTGTGTTGCTGGGGTGGAACTGCAAGTCCCAGCATGCTTCTCAGGGTCTGCTGAGACTTGTGTTGCTGGGGTGAAACTACAAGTTCTAGCATGTATCTCAGGGTGTGTTGATGCTTGTGTTACTGGGGTGGAACTACAAGTCCTAGCATGCATCTTAGGGTCTGCCTGGACCTGTGTTGCTGGGGTGGAACTGCAAGTCCCAGCATGTTTCCCGGGGTCTGCCGGGACCTGTGCTGCTGGGCTGGAACTACAAGTCCCAGCATGTTTCTCAGGGTCTGCCGGGACCTGTGTTGCTGGGTTGGAACTACAAGTCCCATCATGTTTCTCAGGGTCTGCTGAGGCTTGTGTTGCTTGGGTGTTAAATCCCCAAGCACCAACTTAACCATCATCACCTGCTAGATCTGTAGATCCACTGTGAGATACCAGACTGGATTTGTCCTGAATGTTTTTGTGTTTTATTGATTTAACGATCCAGATTTGTGTTACAAAGTGACAGTTTCACTTGTTTTCATAGAGAAGCCTGATACAGTTTATATAATAAACAGAGGATGGCTGTGACCGCTGACCCCCATAAACCTGCAGGAGGCCCTTAAAGGGGATCTGTATTATTCCTGGTTATTGGATGACCATGTCAGCTGACAACCTCACCTGTGTGTTTGTCTTCCATAGTGTGTTTCTATGTATTTATATAGGGAACCAGTTCTGCTGATTGAATGCAATGGGCTCCTCAGAGATCATGTGATGCAGTGCCTTAGGTCACCTTAGGACTTAGGTCACCTGACTGAACTCAGGAGTTGTGTTTGTTTTTTTTTTTTTTTTTTTTTTTTTTTTTTTTTATTCATCATAAGAAATTTTGTGTTTTTTTTCTTTTGTTTTTTGTTGTGTGTGTGTGTGTGTGGTTTTTTTTTTGTTTTTTTTTGTTTTTTTTTCTTTATATATTCAAAATAACAACTTGATCGTTGTGAGAATTTTAAAGGATTCTGCCTTAAAGTAGAACTATAATCAGAAAATGAAGTCTGCTGATCCCAGGCTGGCCCCTTTTGCAGGTACAGTTGTGTAAAACATTACCATTAAGTGTCTATACTGTTTACAGTCCGGTAATACACTGTCCCGCCCCGCTCTGCACATGCTCAATTACTCTCTATTTTTTGGCACCTGAAATCTAAAGGGAGATCTGCTGACAGCCTAAAGATTTACTGCTGCTCAGGGGCTCTGGGCTTCGGCAAAATGGCGATCACTTTCCTAGAGAACATTGTTTCTTATCATGTTGTGATAGGTGAAGTTCTGTTTAAAGTGAACTGATTGTTCTCAAATGGTGGTCTCCAAACTGCGGCCCTTTGCTAGTCTTTATCTGGCCCTTGGGGTAATTTTCCTCCCACTAGTATGTATCATTGATGGGGCTCCGTTCCTCCCACTGACGCCAACGATGGGGCTCCGTTCCTCCCACTGACGCCAACGATGGGGCTCCGTTCCTCCCACTGACGCCAACGATGGGGCTCCGTTCCTCCCACTGACGCCAACGATGGGGCTCCGTTCCTCCCACTGACGCCAACGATGGGGCTCCGTTCCTCCCACTGACGCCAACGATGGGGCTCCGTTCCTCCCACTGACGCCAACGATGGGGCTCCGTTCCTCCCCACTGACGCCAACGATGGGGCTCCGTTCCTCCCACTGACGCCAACGATGGGGCTCCGTTCCTCCCACTGACGCCAACGATGGGGCTCCGTTCCTCCCACTGACGCCAACGATGGGGCTCCGTTCCTCCCACTGACGCCAACGATGGGGCTCCGTTCCTCCCACTGACGCCAACGATGGGGCTCCGTTCCTCCCACTGACGCCAACGATGGGGCTCCGTTCCTCCCACTGACGCCAACGATGGGGCTCCGTTCCTCCCACTGACGCCAACGATGGGGCTCCGTTCCTCCCACTGACGCCAACGATGGGGCTCCGTTCCTCCCACTGACGCCAAACGATGGGGCTCCGTTCCTCCCACTGACGCCAACGATGGGGCTCCGTTCCTCCCACTGACGCCAACGATGGGGCTCCGTTCCTCCCACTGACGCCAACGATGGGGCTCCGTTCCTCCCACTGACGCCAACGATGGGGCTCCGTTCCTCCCACTGACGCCAACGATGGGGCTCCGTTCCTCCCACTGACGCCAACGATGGGGCTCCGTTCCTCCCACTGACGCCAACGATGGGGCTCCGTTCCTCCCACTGACGCCAACGATGGGGCTCCGTTCCTCCCACTGACGCCAACGATGGGGCTCCGTTCCTCCCACTGACGCCAACGATGGGGCTCCGTTCCTCCCACTGACGCCAACGATGGGGCTCCGTTCCTCCCACTGACGCCAACGATGGGGCTCCGTTCCTCCCACTGACGCCAACGATGGGGCTCCGTTCCTCCCACTGACGCCAACGATGGGGCTCCGTTCCTCCCACTGACGCCAACGATGGGGCTCCGTTCCTCCCACTGACGCCAACGATGGGGCTCCGTTCCTCCCACTGACGCCAACGATGGGGCTCCGTTCCTCCCACTGACGCCAACGATGGGGCTCCGTTCCTCCCACTGACGCCAACGATGGGGCTCCGTTCCTCCCACTGACGCCAACGATGGGGCTCCGTTCCTCCCACTGACGCCAACGATGGGGCTCCGTTCCTCCCACTGACGCCAACGATGGGGCTCCGTTCCTCCCACTGACGCCAACGATGGGGCTCCGTTCCTCCCACTGACGCCAACGATGGGGCTCCGTTCCTCCCACTGACGCCAACGATGGGGCTCCGTTCCTCCCACTGACGCCAACGATGGGGCTCCGTTCCTCCCACTGACGCCAACGATGGGGCTCCGTTCCTCCCACTGACGCCAACGATGGGGCTCCGTTCCTCCCACTGACGCCAACGATGGGGCTCCGTTCCTCCCACTGACGCCAACGATGGGGCTCCGTTCCTCCCACTGACGCCAACGATGGGGCTCCGTTCCTCCCACTGACGCCAACGATGGGGCTCCGTTCCTCCCACTGACGCCAACGATGGGGCTCCGTTCCTCCCACTGACGCCAACGATGGGGCTCCGTTCCTCCCACTGACGCCAACGATGGGGCTCCGTTCCTCCCACTGACCATTAACCCTGAGGTCATGTTTATTCTCAATTACACTGGGTCTGGGACATTTTCTACTGCAGCTGACCACAATCCAGCCCCCCTAAAGTCTGAAGGACAGTAAACTGGTTCTTAGTTTTACCGCCTCCTAACCATAAGTGTAAACTAGCCATAGAGTGTCATCAGGCCCATAGGAAGAAATCCGTCTTTGTCCTCCAATGACAATCTCATGTACCCCTCCAGTGGCCGGTCCGATATGGGGATGACTGGACCGTATACAGAGTGGATTTCGATCGAACGTTATTTGGTGTGGTCATGAATACAAGGTGTTCTTTGATTGGGTGAGGTGGAGAGGTGGGGGAATGACATCACAATTTCCACCTCATTCAATCAGAGAATGCCTTGTAAAAAAAAAAAAAAAAAAAAAATACGAGACGTTCTGTGAATGGCAGAGCAAAATTCTGTGCAATGCCCGGGGGAAAAACCCGGAAGACAGCTGCTATCGCTGTAGTAGCTGTAACTACTACAGAGATTTCCAGCCTTCCATTCCGGTATGAAAAGTGCAATGCAGAAGTGTGAATCCAGACTTTATCGATTTTATCTATCTGTAAAATTCTCCCTCTAAAAGCCCCGACAGTGCCCAGCGGCACCGCCATCTTGGTTGTGATGTCGGCAGACTCGGAGCTGCCATTCAAGCCACATTCTATAGTATTCCCCTTCCCTCCTAGCCCAGCAATTCTAGCCATATATAGGGAGGGGAGGGGCAGAGGAGCTGGGCCAGCATAGGCACTGGCATTAGATGCTGCCAGAAAACGAAAGAGCTATGACGGGGGTGGGCAACTGTGACCCTCCAGCTGTTGTAGAACTACAAGTCCCATGAGGCATTGCAAAACTGACCGTTACAAGCAGGGGTGGACTGAGAACACATGGGGCCCCCGGGCAATAGGGGATCATGGGGCCCCTGTGTCCTCGCCCACACCCAAAAAAGCCTATGAAAAAGCCAATGAAAGGTTCCAGGGGCATCTCATGGGGCCCCCTACTGACCCTGGGCCCTCGGGCAGTGCCCGAGTGCTCAAATGGTCAGTCTGCCCCTGGTTAAAAGCATGACTCCCAAAGGCAGAGGCATGATGGGACTTGTAGTTCACCAACATCTGGAGGGCCACAGTTGCCCATCCCTGAGCTATGACATAGAAGGTAGAGGAAAGCTAAAACTCCGTGGGTCAGAATTAGGCGTCAGGTGTGGGACGGCACATGTCTGTCCGCAGGACACTGATTGTGGGATTCGATTTGTGTTTTGGCACCCCTGCCTGTGGCTCTCTTTATCTTTGTAATGAGGATCTGCTCTGCCATGCATCTGGGAAGAAGCAGAACTGTCTGTGTTGCTTGGAATGGCCAATCAGGTATTTCTTTTAATGACCAGCACAGTGGCTAAATGGTCAGCACTTCCGCCTGACAGTACTAGGGTCATTGGTTCAAATCCCAACCATGGCACCACCTGCCTGGAGTTTGCATGTTCTCCCTGTGCCTGCGTGGGTTTCCTCCGGGTACTCTGGTTTCCTCCTACACTCCAAAGACATGCTGGTAGGTAACATTGGCTCCTGTCTAAATTGGCCCTAGTATGTGTATGTATGAATGTGAGTTAGGGACCTTAGATTGTACACCCCTTGAGGGTTAGGGACCTTAGATTGTACACCCCTTGAGGGTTAGGGACCTTAGATTGTACGCCCCTTGAGGGTTAGGGACCTTAGATTGTACGCCCCTTGAGGGTTAGGGACCTTAGATTGTACGCCCCTTGAGGGTTAGGGACCTTAGATTGTACGCCCCTTGAGGGTTAGGGACCTTAGATTGTACGCCCCTTGAGGGTTAGGGACCTTAGATTGTACGCCCCTTGAGGGTTAGGGACCTTAGATTGTACGCCCCTTGAGGGTTAGGGACCTTAGATTGTGCGCCCCTTGAGGGTTAGGGACCTTAGATTGTACGCCCCTTGAGGGTTAGGGACCTTAGATTGTGCGCCCCTTGAGGGTTAGGGACCTTAGATTGTACGCCCCTTGAGGGTTAGGGACCTTAGATTGTGCGCCCCTTGAGGGTTAGGGACCTTAGATTGTACGCCCCTTGAGGGTTAGGGACCTTAGATTGTACGCCCCTTGAGGGTTAGGAACTGATGTGAATGTACAATATATATGTAAAGTGCTGCGTAAGTTGATGGTGCTATATAAGTACCTGAAATAAATAACTGTCTAAAGCAGGGGTGTCAAACTGGCGGCCCTCCAGCTGTTGCGAAACTACAAATCCCATCATGCCTCTGCCTTTTGGGAGTCATACTTGTAACTGTCAATCTTGCAATGCCTCATGGGACTTGTAGTTTGGCAACAGCTGGAGGGCCACCAGTTTGACACCCGTGCTCTAAAGCCTAGCCTGGTCTAAAGGTAAAGCTCAGGATAAAGAGACTTCAGGCAATGCTCTCTGGACAATGTGTGCTAATAAAGTGTATGTAAAGCCAATTTTTTTTCCATTTTTGGATGGATTAGGGAAGGATTGGCACTCCTGTCAGGTTTTTATTGCTGCTTGTGCCTCTACTGGAGAGGGTTCCCCTTTTCTACTGGTGACCACTATCAACAGGACAGAAAGTGTGGGCAATCTTACATTTTAGAGTTGTCACCAGAATAAGAGGCGAGAGGAAATCATCCAATGGGGATACCTGCTCCCTCTAAGTCAGGGGTGTCAAACTGGCGGTCCTCCAGCTGTTGTGAAACTACAAGTCCCGTCATGCCTCTGCCTTTGGGCATCATGCTTGTACCTGTCAATCTTGCAATGCCTCATGAGACTTGTAGTTTGGCAACAGCTGGAGGGCTGCCAGTTTGACACCCGTGCTCTAAGACCTCATTTACACTTGTGGTGGGGTGGTAAAAACAGGCGGCTGAGCATTTTTTTTTCACCGCACAAAAACACACTCACCCTTTGCAGACACGCAGAGGTGCCATCAATTCCTAATGGCACCCCTATGCTGTTTAGCCTGCGGGTGGCACTCACACCTGCCAAAACGCATGTTACTGTAGTGCCATGTGTTTTGGTGCCACACGTTGACAAACAAAATTTTTTTGCAAGTGTCCCGACATAGGGCAGCCCATTCATTTTATAATATGGCCCTAAAATGCGAGCTTTCTGGAATGTGAAAAAAGCATGCGCACTTGGGCGCCCATACTGTGAATGAGCTCTTATGGAGCCCTGGATAGCAGCAAAAACCTGACAGGGGTTCTAATCGTTCCCACTCCTTCTAAAACTAAACAAATTGGCTGGGTAGATGCTTTAAGCTCTGGCCGCCCAGATAACACCCACAAGCCACACATATAGGTCCATGGGCAGCAGAGGTTCCTGTGCTGCCTGCGCGCTCCCACACAGTGACTGAGCTGTCCAAGACAGCTCCAGGTCTCTATTAACGATTGGGAGGCGGGGAAAACGTGGGTCGATTGTATACAAATGAATGGGTGTTTATACATTGTATTTGGATGGATTATTGGAATATTGATCTGGTTGGTCATATGTTGGCAGGTGGGAGACTCGGCTCTGGATGTTCACCCTCCTGGCTGGGGGACGTGCTTCCTGTACTCGGCTCGCTCCAGTTTGCCCATTTGCGCTGTGTCCGATGAGCGAGCAGTTTGGATGGAACAAGAAGCAGACCGGGTTGGCTCTGAGCAGCTTCTTCTGGGGCTACTGCCTGACGCAAGTCGCCGGAGGTCACCTGAGCGACAAGTGAGTAGCTGGAGGTGGAACTCCGAAACAGATTCCAGCTTCCTACCAGGGGCGGACTGACAACTCATGGGGGGCCCCCGGGCAATAGGGGATCATGGGGCCCCTGTGTCCTCGCCCACACTCAAACCACACCCAAAAAAGCCTATGAAAGGTATCAGGGGCATCTCTTGGGGCCCCCTACTGACCCCGGGCCCTCGGGCAGTGCTTGAGTGCTCGAATGATCAGTCCGCCCCTGCTTTCTACGCTTTGCCCAGCCAGCCTAGGGGGCACCCTTATGGCCAGATATAATCGTGCTTGCAGTTGGCTTCTCCTATGATCATCAGCTCCATCTAGTGACCATAATGCAGTATTTTTGTGATTGAGGTCTTTTAGAAAAATACCACATTATGGCCACTAGATGGAGCTGACGATCACAGGAAATAATCATTGCAAACAGTACAGTGGTCATTTGTTACGCCCCTGTGATTGTTTAGGCCAAACTTTTTGTACGTTGACACCTGCGTGATTCTTGTTAGCTATTTCCATTCTGTTGTTGTTGACTGGTACACATGATTGGGAGAGGCTGAATGGTTGCTGGGCTAACCTCACCCAGTTCTTAGTTGGGGGGGGGGGGGGGGGTTTGCCTGTCCTCTTCCTGCTGATAACATTCTGTTTTCTGTCTCTAGAGTCGGTGGGGAAAGAGTCCTCCTGGTGTCCGCTCTGCTATGGGGGCTTATCACGATTGTCACCCCTCTGGCCGCTCGTGCAACCACAGCATCCCTCTATCTGGTCAGTTTCCTGCGTTTCCTAATGGGACTGTTACAAGGTGAGACATGAGCACATAGGATGATGGTAAAGAGGTCCTGTCAATGTATCATACAAAGCAAAGTTTCCCATTCTTTGTTACATTGTAGTAAACTCCCATCAGTCTTGATCCCACCAGATGCCTCGTCATGTCTAGAGGTGGCAAGGACATGGACCTCCGTTGGATTTGGTAGACCTTTGTTACATTGTAGTAACTCCCATCAGTCTTGATCCCACCAGAGACCTCGTCACGTCTAGAAGTGGCAAGGGCATGGGCCTCCATTGGATTTGGTAGACCTTTGTTACATTGTAGTAACTCCCATCAGTCTTGATCCCACCAGATGCCTCGTCATGTCTAGAGGTGGCAAGGGCATGGACCTCCGTTGGATTTGGTAGACCTTTGTTACATTGTAGTAACTCCCATCAGTCTTGATCCCACCAGAGACCTCGTCACGTCTAGAAGTGGCAAGGGCATGGGCCTCCATTGGATTTGGTAGACCTTTGTTACATTGTAGTAACTCCCATCAGTCTTGATCCCACCAGATGCCTCGTCATGTCTAGAGGTGGCAAGGGCATGGACCTCTATTGGATTTGATAGACCTTTGTTACACTGTAGTAACTCCCATTAGTCTTGATCCCACCAGATGTCACGTCTAGAGGTGGCAAGAGCATGGACCTCCGTTGGATTTGGTAGACCTTTGTTACATTGTAGTAACTCCCATCAGTCTTGATCCCACCAGATGCCTCGTCATGTCTAGAGGTGGCAAGGGCATGGACCTCTATTGGATTTGATAGACCTTTGTTACACTGTAGTAACTCCCATTAGTCTTGATCCCACCAGATGTCACGTCTAGAGGTGGCAAGGGCATGGACCTCCATTGGATTTGGTAGACCTTTGTTACACTGTACTAACTCCCATCAGTCTTGATCCCACCAGATGCCTCGTCATGTCTAGAGGTGGCAAGGGCATGGACCTCTATTGGATTTGGTAGACCTTTGTTACATTGTAGTAACTCCCATCAGTCTTGATCCCACCAGATGCCTCATCACGTCTAGAAGTGGCAAGGGCATGGACCTCTATTGGATTTGGTAGACCTTTGCGATGTGCTGGCAGGGCTACACTTTGGGGAAAGCTGGCACATGCTCCTTCTTTAGGGTACTGACCTGCATCTTGTCCTTCAAAAGACTTGAGTTTGTTTTCTGGTGTGAACAAGCCCTTTCCAGGTACCCATTTACCATCAGCAGAAGCTAATGCCGTGCTTCTCCTTTAGCTGCAAATATAACCACTTACCCCAGTCTTTTCCTTCCCTTTGTTTGAGAGCTGTCATCACAGGGCTGCTTCAGTGTAAACATGGCTTTGTTTACATTCAGCCTGTCTGCACTGTACAGTGAAAAGATCGACAAGGCTGCAGATCAGGATGGAGGTAGACATCTGCTCCACAATCCTGTTTTGAATCCATGTCTCAAGAGCTAGGAGCCCTAAATAGAATCCCATGTTCTCCTAATAGGTGAGGTGGGGGATGTCAAACAACAGAACCCTTTACTTGGCTCCAAGTGGGCAGTGAATGACGAATGCCCTTTCCTAAATGTTTTCACCAGTGCACTGCACTCATGTAGTCGATAGGGGAATGGATCACAAGCCGCTTGAAGCTTTACACACGTTTGACCATGCCCTACACGACATCCCACGTTTCATCCATGTCTATGTGATTCCAGACAGCCTGCTGTGGAAAGTAGGGTGACCCCTTCATAGTTGAATTAGTTGGCAGGTTTGTAGACGTCTATGGGGATTTCTCCGATCACCAACTTCCGCAGGGAGTCGGTGGTTGGAAAAATCGCCTTAGACTTCTACAAACCTGCCAATTAGTTCATCTATGAAAGGGTCACCCTACTTTCCACAGCTGGCTATTTGGAATCACATGGACATGGATGAAACGTGGGATGTCGTGTAGGGCTTGGTCAAACTTGTGTAAAGCTTCAAGCGGCTTGTGATCCATTCCCCTAACGACTACATGAGTGCAGTGCACTAGTGAAAACATTTAGTAAAGGGCATTCGGTGTGAAAACCTGAGAGATAAGAGGTGAATTTACTGTATTTATGGTTGAACTTGAGGGTCCGTATTACCTGCATTTTACTTTTCAACCTTATCTACTAATAACTATTAATTCTTTGTATTTGTCTTCTAGGAGTTCACTTCCCGGCTTTAAGCAGTGTGTTCGCCGTGCGAGTCCGAGACAAAGAACGCGCCTTCTTCTGCAGCTTTGTTGGCTGTGGCTCCCAGTGCGGGTAAAATGGACTTTTGAAATCCATCTTCTCCAATGTTACATCTGCCATCTATGATTCCCTCCCGGGTTTGTCTCCATGGCTCATTCTCTTACCCCTGTTTTCTCAGAAGACTAGAGCTGGTCTTTTTCTTCTAATTTATAGTGCAGAGTTTCCCTTCTAGTTCTAGCGCTGGGCTTTCCCTTCCAATTCTAGTTCTGGCTTTCCCTCCAGTTCTAGTGCTGGGCTTTCCCTTCCAGTTCTAGTGCTGGGCTTTTTAGTTCTACTGCTGGGCTTTCCCTTCCAGTTCTAGTGATGGGCTTTCCCTTCCTAGTTCTAGTGCTGGGCTTTCCCTTCCAGTTCTAGTGGGCTTTCCCTTCCAGTTCTAGTGCTGGGCTTTCCCTCCAGTTCTAGTGCTGGGCTTTCCCTTCCAGTTCTAGTGCTGGGCTTTCCCTTCCAGTTCTAGTGCTGGGCTTTCCCTTCCAGTTCTAGTGCTGGGCTTTCCCTTCCAGTTCTAGTGCTGGGCTTTCCCTTCCAGTTCTAGTGCTGGGCTTTCCCTTCCAGTTCTAGTGCTGGGCTTTCCCTTCCAGTTCTAGTGCTGGGCTTTCCCTTCCAGTTCTAGTGCTGGGCTTTCCCTTCCAGTTCTAGCGCTGGGCTTTCCCTTCCAGTTCTAGCGCTGGGCTTTCCCTTCCAGTTCTAGCGCTGGGCTTTCCCTTCCAGTTCTAGCGCTGGGCTTTCCCTTCCAGTTCTAGCGCTGGGCTTTCCCTTCCTAGCGCTGGGCTTTCTAGCGCTGGGCTTTCCCTTCCAGTTCTAGCGCTGGGCTTTCCCTTCCAGTTCTAGCGCTGGGCTTTCCCTTCCAGTTCTAGCGCTGGGCTTTCCCTTCCAGTTCTAGCGCTGGGCTTTCCCTTCCAGTTCTAGCGCTGGGCAGTTCTAGCGCTGGGCTTTCCCTTCCAGTTCTAGCGCTGGGCTTTCCCTTCCAGCTGGGCTTTCTAGCGCTGGGCTTTCCCTTCCTAGTTCTAGCGCTGGGCTTTCCCTTCTAGTTCTAGCGTTGGGCTTTCCCTTCTAATCCTCTTATTTGAATGTTGCAGCCAACCGGATCTATATGTAAACCCTAAAAATGTAAGTCTCTTACTTCCTATTTGGTCTGTTATAACAAACCCTTCCAATGATATATTTTTCTGTTGGCTAGGACAGTCTGTTTGTATCAGGACTGGGGGCTCTTGGGTGAATGAGTCAGGGTGCTGTGATGTTTCAGGAAGCTATATACAGCACCCTGGAGGCCCCTCTCACCAGCCATGATTCGACTGCATTGCGTAGAGACGCACAGAGACCCAATGATGTCACTGTACTTAAAATAAGGGAAGGCAAAATCTAAGCAGTGATTGGTGTGTTCACACTCTTTCTCAATGTTTCAGGACACTGCTGATTGGTGGAGCTGGTTCTCTTATTCAGGATTGGTACGGCTGGGATTATGTCTTTTATTTTGCTGGATTCCTTGCCTTGGCCTGGAGCTACTGTCTGGGTACCTACATGCTAAAGGAGAAAAGTAAGTCTTCCCCCTGTACATCTGGGGGGTACAACCAGAGCTCAGGGAATATCTGCTGCAGATTTCACACTATCTTGGGTGATCATTCCTTCTGGCTTGGCATGGAAAATGAAACAACGTGGAGCCTGAATGACCATTGATTTTTTTTTTTTGGCCATTATTATTATTATAATACAGGATTTATATCACGCTAACAGTTTGCTCAGCTCTTTACATTATAGTGGGAGACAATACAGCAACAATACAGTTCAATACAAGATGGATAGGAGGGCCCTGATCCTGGGAGCTTACAATCTAGGAGGGAGGGGCTAGTGGTACAAAAGGTAATAACTGTGGCGGATGGACTAATAGGAGGAACAGAAGATTCCATTATTAGCTGAGGGCAGGATAGGCTTCCCTGAAGAGATAGGTTTTCAGAGATCGCCTAAAAGTGAGCAGAGTAGGCGATAGTCTGATAGATTGGGGTAGAGAGTTCCAGAGGATGGGGGAAGCTCTGGAGAATGGGAGGAGGAGACAAGGGAGTTAGAGAGCAGAAGGTCATGGGAGGAGCGGAGAGGACGGTTAGAGTGATATTTGGAGACAAGATTGGTGATGTAATTTGGGGCAGAATTATAAATAGTTTTATATGTTATTGTTAATGTTTTGAATTTTTTTCGTTGGGCAATGGGAAGCCAGTGGAGGGATTGGCAGAGAGGGGAGGAGGACACTGAGTGGAGGCCAGTGGAGGGATTGGCAGAGAGGGGAGGAGGACACTGAGTGGAGGCCAGTGGAGGGATTGGCAGAGAGGGGAGGAGGACACTGAGTGGAGGCCAGTGGAGGGATTGGCAGAGAGGGATGGAGGACACTGAATGGAGGCCAGTGGAGGGATTGGCAGAGAGGGATGGAGGACACTGAATGGAGGCCAGTGGAGGGATTGGCAGAGAGGGGAGGAGGACACTGAATGGAGGCCAGTGGAGGGATTGGCAGAGAGGGATGGAGGACACTGAATGGAGGCCAGTGGAGGGATTGGCAGAGAGGGATGGAGGACACTGAGTGGAGGCCAGTGGAGGGATTGGCAGAGAGGGATGGAGGACACGAGTTGAGGCCAGTGGAGGGATTGGCAGTGAGGGGTGGAGGACACTGAGTGGAGGCCAGTGGAGGGATTGGCAGGGAGGGGTGGAGGACACTGAATGGA